ACAATTTTTGTTTCATTTTTTGTTTCGATTACAATTGATTCGATGATATTTATTCACAATTGATTACGATTTCACTTGATTCAATCTTGCAATTTAATTATGCCTATCAATTGTAATCTGATATTAATCAAAGTGATTAATGATTTAATGTTATTAACATAATGATAAACCTGGAAAACAGTTGATTCGTGACACTATTGATTTACAATTGAAATTAAATTGTTAAATTGGTGCAAATAGTTATTCAATTGTTTTGTCAGACAATCTAACTTGAAAATTGCGTGCAAATAATAATTCAGTAAAACAAAAACAATATCATGAAACAAATGATGCAACTAATAGAAACAATCAGCTCATTTAATTAATCGATTAACATTTCACTTAATACCTAAATTAAAAGATAATGAAGCGCAGAACGAAAGCTTCTGAACTCCATCAAAACGAAAAATCAAAGTTTTTCTAACGAAACATGATTCCAAGGGATTTCAACTTCATGAACCAATTTTGTCCAGAGCTAAACTCATGATGAACATGAAAATATAGAGAAAAATTTTATTGATTCATAGTCAAACTAGACTTAAAATGAATTCTAATCAAGTTGATAAAGATAATGAAATGGAAAAGCAAAATTTTCTACGTGGAAAGTACTCCAAGCATACATTAAATTTGATGCAAGAAGAGTGACTGTCTTAGGTTGAAAGACTCACTAGCATCAGATAAGGTTTGCTAGTGTCAGACTTCAGACTAATTCGTCTAATAATAAAAGTTTTGATGATGATGAAGATTATGATAAGCATGATAGTGGAGATGGTAATGGAGACTAAGATGATGAAAATTATTAAAAATTATTGAAAATATGAAAATTATTATGATGATATTGACGATGATGATGGTGATGATGAAAAATGAAAAAATTTCTGCATAAAAATGAGACCATATTAGTGTCACACTTGATGGGGTGAGAGTGACTTGCTTGGGTTGAGATTTACATCTCTTTCAGCCTGATCGAGCTTACTGTGGAGTGAAAAAGCAATTACTTAAAATATAAAAATTATGATGATAGTGTTGACCATGCTGACAATGATGATGGCGGTGAAGATGATTTTGAAAATGATGATGAAGATGATGGAGATTAAGATGTTCATTAAATTAGGACAGTGATGCTCTTAGACTATTTCCTGTTGAACCAATTTAGAGGTGGATTCAGTTTTAGATTGTTGGTTTGTTATCAGAAGAAAAGAGCGAAACAAAAGCAGAGAAAATAACTGATGATGATGATGCAGATAAAGTGATGCAGAAGATGAGGAAGAAAAAGTTTAGTGTGCTTTAAGGGAATGAAGGGAAAGAGCATAAAATAGTATTACAAGATAGAAGAATCTCTTTTTTTCTCACCAGTCTATCGATAACTCAGTTTATATCAATTAAATGATCACTGATTGTAAGAATTTCATTGAAGCATCTTTTTGTATTCTCATGAGGTTTCAATTTCATCTAATTTCATTTAATTTTATCTCTTTTCTTTCTTTTCCCATTACCTGTTTGTTTGTATAAGCTTGTTTATCAGTAAACTTTTTTTGTTCAACTTTCTCATTATGGTTAACATCAACAATCAGAGTGTGAATTTATTCAGCCACTTTAACCAATCAGATGACCATTGAAAATGAATGTCAGATGAGCAAGGTTGAACCTTCAAGATTCAGTCAATTGAAACAATTTGATTAAGAAAACAATTTTTTGTCATTCATCAAAAGATATGATTATATTGGAAGAGAGCGAAAAAAAAGATTTTCTTGTTTACCTTTACACGAATCAAATAAAAGACAATTTATGGACAACCTGGAAACACTATTAAACATGTCACTTGTGGTTAATTGTTTTGATTATATTTGACTCTTTACCTGTCACAAAGTTGAACATGATACTGATGGGTTACACTGATTGACCATGATTTACCATGAAACAGGCTTTACTCTCAATTAGCCTTGGACAAAAAACACTCTCTAGTGGCTCTTTGAGTCAACCTTAATCTCACCTTACCAGGTTGGTAACTGTAAACAATTGCAATTCATCAATTGATCCAATCCATTTTCAACTCTGATAACACTTTTGGATCCTCTTCATGCAAGTCAAGTAAAATGAGCAGCAAGAAAAAGTTCATAAATTTCCGTTCGTAACTTGATAAGGGAACAAGTAAATTTTAGCTTCAAGTCAATCTCGAGTTTCACCATATTAATCCATTTCACCGTCGATTCTTTTTTTACCTTGCAATCCATTTTACCCTCACTTTTCACTCCTCCCTCCTCTTCACCCATCGTCATCCTAATCATCATAATCATCATCCATAACCACAAACACACACATCTCTGTGGACACAGAAGAGAGGGAAAGAAAGCAAGCATAAAGTTGATTAAATGTGTTTTCTGGTTTACCTTAAAAACATTAGTTATCACACCGTCAACAGCAAACACTGGATCAATCTGAATAACAAGAAAAGCTGGAAAAGTCAAAAATCTCAAGTGATAACGCTCATTGAACTAACCATGAAAATCTTGGTGATAACCATGCAATTTAAGGTGAAAAATGGTCAAGTTTAGTGTGGAAGGTTGAAAAAAAAGTTGAAACTCAACATGACAATGCAACTTGTAGGAAACTTTGAAGCACCAAAGTGACCTGAAAAGTGTTTAGATATGGGCATCAAGAAAACTATTGAATGGTGAACAAAACAGCAAAACTAATCAATTGATGAGTTCAATTTCAATTTAAAACTTTAATTTCAATTCTAATTTCAGTTCATCTTTCAGTTCACCTCAAGTTAACTCCTCAACAATTTAAATCTCATTTAGAGTCTCATTTAATTATCAAAAATTTTCCCTTCTTTTTCCTTTTCATTTACATTCTCATTGAAAAACATTTGCTGTTATCAAAATGAAAGTGAAGACAATTAATCTTGTTTTCAACAAAAACATTCAAGGTGCGTTAGAATTGACGAAAGCACGTTCTTCAAAAAATCATTTTTTACCTGAACTTCGATCAACAACTGAATTTCCTTTGCATTGTGGAAGATGAATTTTTGGAAGAATATCATTGGAAAGAACTTGAAAAAACAGAGAAATTAGTCATTTTAACTTATTCGACAAATCAGACAGTGAACAAGTTTGAAGTGATGCCAAAATTAGAACGAAAACTTCTAAAAACACAGAATTTTCTTCAAAGTTAAACATTTTTCAAGGAATCAATGAGTTAACCAATGATACTCCCAAGTTTTAACATGAAATCTGAATGAAAATTTACATCAACTTAAGCAACTCTAACAATGAGTCTTCAATTTGAAAACTATTCCAATCTGAAAATCGATTCATTTTTAAAGAGATTGACCCTCAAACCTGGCCATTCATTGGTTTCCCATTCAAACTGCAACTTTCAAATCTGGCAATTCTTCATTTTTCCATGATTTTCCTTATTCCATCAACTCGATCCAAACTTTTTTCATGACAACTTTTTTTCTCCATGAACCTTGACATGTCAATTGCAACATCTGAAAATCTTGACTTTGAAACTTTTCTCGTTTAACTTTTTACCTAAAAAATGAAAAAAAAAGTTGACTTGCAAATGAAATTAGCATCAATATTGATTAAAGAAATGTTGATATTTTCCATCCTTTTCCATCTTATCCTATCATTTACCTTTTTCAACCTTTTAATCTTAACTTTCTCATTGATGTGCCACTTGAATTGAAAATGAATTATTTGATTCATGAATCCTCAAATCATCAATTTACTGAACCATTGAAAATGTAAGCAAAAAAAGGTTGGCAAAAAGGTGTTACCTTGTTCATTGTTATGCTTTACTGATTTACCTTTTTTTGCCTACTTCACATTATTATTATTAACAGTAATAATAATAATGATTATACTAATATTAATTGTCATAACAATAAAAATAATCAACATAATCATAAAAAGAAGAGAAAAAAAATGTTACTAATGTCACTACTTGGAATAATAATGAACCCTTTTAATGTTACAGAAGACTATTAATAACAAGGGAAACATAAATAGTTTGACAATCTATTAAATGTTGATATGAGTACAAAGTTATCATTAACATTGTATTGGAATGTTTTGTTTAATGTTATCAATCAAAATTAATAATAAATAGGGTTTGACCACATTAAAGGTCCACTTCTGGTTTAACCTTTTCATTTCAACATTATCATTAAAGGATTCACCGAGAAATGACAATAATCTGTCATCTAATCAATAATGTGAAGCAATGAAAAATAATGATTATAATAATCATTCCAATGGTAAAAATCGTGATAATGAATGATTCTTGTTTTTACCTCATTTTTCAGTTTCTTTCAACTTTTTTTGCTTCTTTTCTTCTCTCTTTGGTGACTTTTTCACTCTCTTTTTACTCGATTCATTTGCATAATGATATTATACTTTTGAAGGAAGGATTGATGAGAGATGATGATCAGGGTGAGAGGAAGATGAGGCATCATTTTGGATGATTGAATGTGATTTGAATGAAAAATATGGAAACTTGAAGCTTGTCGTTGGTCAACCTTTGTGAAACTGCAATTTTTCAAATGAACAGGCAAGGTTTACCTTTTGTTAACTTAGTTGACAGTTTATTAGTCTTGTTTGGTTTAACAGTAAAGGCAAAATGGACTCTTTTCACTTGGTTAGTTAATTGTAATCAATACATTTGCTTGCCTTTTTGTGGTTAAAATTGAGAGATTTAATTGATTTTTTTGTCCATTTCTTGTCAGTTTGTACGTTTATGTAAATTTTTGTTTCATTTGTTGGTTCCTTTTCTGATTCATGTTTTATTTTTTATTTTTATGCCACATTTGGTGGTAATTTATCAACATTTTGTTGCATTTTTACCTTCAAGTTTGATTTATTTTTACATTTTTCATTTTTACAGTTATCATTGTTTACTTTAAACAGCGCGCCATTGTTGGTTAATAGGCAACGGTTTTAACTAAAGGATGAAATAGGCGCTTTAGCTTGTCAGTCGATAGTATCTTTGTCCAAGAGATGATTTAAAGTGGATTGATTTGTCTTTAAATTTTTTTGTTTGATTTAGGGCCGCTTATTGGATTAAGTATATTATGGTGGCTTACCAAGGATCAGTTCACCTGTTCAATGTTTAAACATCTAAAATCAAGCCATGGCAGCTTTTATTTATCAAATTTTCCTGTCATCAAAGGGCTAATAAATAAAAACAAGAGACGGCCAGTGATTATTTTGACCTTATCTTGTCCTCTCAATGCTCTGGAAACTAGAGGTAAGCTTCCGATTAGCTTTTATTTCTACCAATCATTTGATTTCTCTATACAAAAATTGACGCGAAAAATTCCATGAGTATAGAAAGACTGTTGGAAAACATTGAATTTCAAATTAATGATTGTTGCTTATCTAGTGAAAGAGTGTTAATCTCATGAATTTATTATCAGAACGAATCATTAATGCAAAATTTTATCTCAAAATCTTTCCCCATAGGCTATGCATATGAATCAGAAAGCTTATGGAATCGGACGTGTTTTCAACGCTACTCGATCATGGAAATTGTTATAAGCCTTTGAGATCAAAGAAGTAAATGAATGGTTGTAAGAAAATTTAGCTCCAGATATTGACTCTAAAGCTGCTTCTGTCGACGCATTTGTTTCCAGGTCCTTTTTATTCTGCTGAAAGAAAGTCTTCTCTCAATTTCCAGATCCATGTTCATGTTTCATATCTTCTTTCCTTGATTCTTGTCTCAACTGGTTTCCAGTTTAATCAGCTTTTAAATACAAGTTACAAGAAGAAAAATTTAAAGCTTATTGAGATGCAAGAACCACTTCTTGAGGATGCTTCATCATTACTGATGGTCTACATGATTGAGTCGACATTTGATTGAATTAGAAATGGCAACGATGGAACCGGCGAAAGAAGATGCTGATTACAATGTTGAAAGATTGATAGCCAGTAAAGAGTCTGCTAAGGTCAATTAGGTTTGTGAGTCAAGTTTATTTGGATGGTGATTCACTGGTTCCCCATCGTCGTTCACTTATTTACATTTAAATTTGTTTAATTTTTGATCACATCAATAGCAAGCGTTTTCACGAGCCACAAAGCAAACAAATTGTAATCACTTTTGACAATGTCAATTAACCAGAAAGAGTAAACTTACAACATATCATTGGCATCAAGCGTGGGCGCAACAAACCTGAACCGCCACGTGACACGGCAACCCTGGTAAAACAGTTGAATCATTTTCCATCTTGACCGTCATCTTAATCCGTTCCAACTTAATTTACTTGATCACATTATTTTTATCATGAAAATTGATAATTATTAACATCATAATCAACCTTATTCATCTTAACAGTCATCTTACCTATTCATTTGAGCAAATTTAATGCGGCCAACACAACCAGGCTAACCTGGACAATGGATCAACTATTAACCCTTCGGGTCACTGTCTTCCTCATCATTACCCTCATCAACTTCAAGGACAAATACCAAGAATAAAAGGAAAAACCGGAAGCCAGATTGAGTACCATTAGCACGTAGAGTCAAGAGGTAAACACACAAAACAAGGTAAACAAACAATGTTCAAATGGTTGGAGAGGAACGCAAAAGGGCCGAAAAAACGCAAAGATTTCAACCAATTATTATTATCATTATTATGACAATAATTATAACTTTAAATTGTCCAATTTGCTTGCTAATGAATTACATAAAATGGTGATTTCTTTATAATTAACCAAGAAAATGATTAACCAGACAATAAGCTAAACAATTAACATGGACAAACAAGATTTTCCTTAACAAGCAAACTGGACCTTATATCAGTCAAACAGTTAAATGCGTTTCAAGTTTCAACAGTAAAATGACATTTTTAGAAGAAAATTTCACTTTAAATTTTTCTGAATCTTAACCAACAATTAAACCAACTAACCCTTAATATCATGGACTGACTAACTGCATTTATTTACTAATCACAAGTTAATTGATTTCAAGTATTTCCAACATTTGTAAGATCAGTTGAAGTGTGATGAGATTGAGTGAAGAGCTTTCAATTGTTTCAATGTTTAAGCAAAGTGAGGTTGAAAAATGAGGAACTAAAAAATGTTGAATCAATATTGATTAGCATGTTTAACTGCATTGTATTGTCGTGATTAAACTAAAATTATTGATTACAATGATTACAATTGAACACAAACGATTAAATATGAAACTTGCAATTTGAACCAGTTCAATTGTTGAAAAGCAATTATGGCCTTTGTTTCACCGAGAAAAGGAACCAAACCTTTCATGAACAATTAACACTTGCCAATGAGTTGACCAATTGCTACATGAACATGGTTTAGATTAAAATTGGTTTCACGATTAAAAAATTAAACCTCAACAATTTGATTAATTTGTAAAAGATTTCATTTTAGAGCATAAAAAGGCAATTTCGTTTTCTCCAATCAAATAAATTATTCAAAGCTAATGAAACTGAAAATGATATTAAAACTAAACTAATCAAGATGATTGTTGAGATGAAGATTAACAAGTTTATTAAAGATGATTAAATCGTTTACAATTTAATCCCACGCTTCCGTTTAAATGGCGAGTCAAGATGAACCGAAATGAAAGTTGAACCCACATTCAATGAAACAAATGGCTAATTTGACTTGTTAATCAGCTAATTATCAGTCGATTATTGGTTGATCACAATTTGTTAACATTGAAAGTTGTTGAATAAAAACAGGGTTAAACGTGTTTCGCCGGCAATTGTTGAAACTTGCAACTTGATCAGTTAATGTCAATTGAATCGGATTAATATTAATATCATTATTTATAACGCTATTAACATTATTTGCTTGAAACTTTTCATTTTTTGAGAAACAATTTTTTCTCTCAACTTTTTCTAATTACTTTAATCCGTTTCTTTTTTATCTGTCAACAATTAACTTTTAGCTTGACCATGATTGAGATTATCATTCTCACGGCCTTATTAAACATCATTCAACTAATTGTAACAAATTTAGATTCAATTTTGTCCAATATTTTACATTATTTAAGGGCAAATATTTTTCAACCTTTTCTGCCGCGTTTCCCATTCCACTTTTAATATAATCTATTGATTTATAAAGCAACTTTTCCTAATTAGATTTCATGTGTTGTCAAACTTCAACTGTTAAATATAACACTTTTAACTCAACAATTATCATCTTAAATTGTTGATCCTTTCATTACCGATAAATTTAATCCATTAAAATGGGATTAATGATCAAGACTGTAAATTGATATATTTACAGATTCATTAATTTTGACTTTCATTTCGCTTCTTTTTCTCATCAGCAAACTTCTGATTTATGATTAAATTTAAAAATTTCTGATTCTTTGACTCAACATTCAAAAAAGAAAAGAAACTTTTTCTGAAACTTTCATCGAAAACTTTATCTAACTTTCGATGGAGTTGAAGAAATTGAAAATTCCATGATTCATTGATTGTTTAAAAAATTGGTTTTTCATTGAAATTCAATGATAATTAGTTACATCAATTCATTTGAATGAACAAAAGTTTTTGTTGGAATGAAAAGTTTTTGTGGCAAAGCAGCGCCATCTTTGGGGAGAAGAGAAAAGTCGTTCTTTCGGTGAAACTTTTCAAATGAATTTATTCAGTGTCTTGATTATGTCGTATCTTTGATGAACTTGTCAAGTATTTAAAATAGTTTGGAAATTTTAATCGGTTTAATTGTCATTTGCAAATGAGGAAATGAGTTGTCAAGAAGATTCTGATTGTTGATATTTAGATTACTGTTTGCGGTAATTAACATTGCAAGGAATGAAAACTGTTTTTTTGCCGATTAATTATTCAAGCTCAATCAAGTTTCATTGGAACTTTTCTTCGTTCCTCTTTTTCTGATTCCCTTTTTGATTGTGTTCTGTGTAAAAATTAAACATTTGTAGGCCTCAATAGTTGAGATGATGATGATAATGATGAGAAACTAGCTTCAGGGAATTGCCACATTTTTTATTATTATCTTCATCATCATCTACAGATAATGGTTAAGAGGGATTAAAGATGGAAAAGCAATCAAAAAATTATTCAACTTGTTCCTTTTTTTCCTCTTCTTCATTGAAACATTTCGTTTTTTACTTTTCGCTGATAATGGACAAGATATTATTTTAATGATCATCAAAGTGGAAATGATGTGATTCAATGTCACGCTATTAACAATCTTTTTTATCATGTCACCACCATCTTCATGTACCCATTCAAGATAACTTTGATATCAAAACTTAAAAAATTTTCTATCTTTTTGTGACCTTTTCCACTTTTAAACGGACCTCACAATTTCGCAGCAAACTTTTAGTGCTTTTGGCACTATTTTAAGCGACATTTTACATTTTACATTTTCATCTTTTCGTTAAAATGAAAACTTTATCAAGATTGCATTATGAGTGAGCAACGAAATGCTCGGAATTTTGAATTTATGTTTCAATCAAATCTGCAGGTGAAATTCAATTTCCGAATCTTTCGATCGTTTGGGTGGATTCTTTTCGTAGTTAAATTGAATATGAATTGAAATGCACATGAGTAAATTCATGCTATTAGCGTGATTCAAAACTTTTCAATTTATCGTGAAATCTCTTCATCTTGCAATTAGCTGATTCAAAGGGTTGAGCATCTGAGTTTTAACATCGATTTTTGATGAAAAGCGAGATTTACAATCAATTTACTCAGCAGGTATTAATTTTACATGAAATGCGTTTTGTCCAAACAAGTTGTTTACACGATAATAATGCAAAATAACACGATGACAGCTTGAATCTATTTCAGCTCTGAACATTATTCCATCAAGCTAGCAATAAAACTCAAGTGATGAACATTTAAAATTGTGTTAACCGCGAAAAGTTTATCATAAAATGAAATTAACCTTAGTCATGCAAATGATGATCGATGCTCAGTCATCAAGTTTAAAAACTTGTCACAATTATATTGCAAGATACGATGATGGCCATTAAACTTGAAATTAGTCAAGTCAATCATTTTAACCTTAACTATTTCAATTGCAAAGTTAAACTTTTAGTCAAACTTAAATGAAAAGTTTATCAACAAATAAACTTTTAGTCAAACAAATAATTACCGATGTGATCATCGTTTCATTACTTTACAAGATGTCACAATAATAATGCAAGACAACCCGATAAAGGCTGATAAGCCTAACCTAACCAAACCTAACCTAACCCGCCAAGTCATCTTGACAAATTGATTCACCATTGGGTTAACCTTGAATCCATTAAGGTTAAATTTGTAATCGTTCAATAGCTGGTTAACAAAGGGTAAGCACCCTTTGGTTAACCTCACCAGATTTGCGCACAATTATGAATCTTGGCTCATTTTTTACTTTTATTTTCATTGGTATCTTCATTAATTTTCAGTTAGTTAATTCACGAACAATTAGCTTGCAAAAAAAAGAGATATTACATTAGCCAAGAAAATCGTTTCCTTTGCCTTTTTGTTATTGCACACAAAACTTTTGCCTGCAGGTAAATATATAATACCCAACATCCAACCTTGGACACTTGATAATAATAACAAGGTTAATAATGATGATAATGATTATTTTTGTTGATAATAAACACACAGTGAGCTTGAATGTTAATAATACAAATAATAATAAATGATCTCAAGTTGATTAGTTTGATAGTATAAAAGTTGAGTAAATAAATTCATTGTAATGATTGATGATGAAAGCGAGTTGTGAGACGCGATTTTATTTACTTTGGCCTTAAATCTAAACGGCGTTAAATTGTCAATTGTGAAAACATTTACCAAATTAAAAGGCTTCCCACTTTGACTAAACTTGCATATCAATTTACATGATTTACAAACTGTTTTCATCTAAATCATTAGCATTCAAAGTTGATTATTAATGACCCAAACTGATGCACAAGTGTAGGTTTGTGTTTTATGTTTTTATCCAGCGTTGAACGCAAACGACGTCTAATTGTCATTAAACGTCTTTAAGAGGCAAGAGGTTGCTTCCAATGATTGTGGTTATGATGATTGTGATGATGATGATAGAGTTGGATAAGGAGTGGAATCAAATTTGATTAAAATTAATTTAATTATGATCATCATTTATTGAGAACTGTGTTTGGGTTTGGTGTTTATTTCGGTTTCAGTTGAATATAACTTCAATTGCCATGTTTAACCTTAAAGGCAACCCTTGAAACTCTTTTTTTTTTGAATTTCAACTTGTTCCAACTTTCAGTATGACAATTATAACGATGGAAATGAATGATTAAAATGATTAAATATGATGATTAAACATGCTTGTTGGCCGAGCAATTAGTATCATTAGTTAGTTATTTATAAGTCTGTAAGTATTACAAATTAACATAGTCAATGAAGAAAATTTGAAAGCAAAGTTTACTCTTTTTGGTCTTCACTTTAGTCTCTAATTTGGTTAAACTTTTAATTTGCTCTCTTTAAATGACAATTAAATTGATTTGCTAAATAGATTTACATTTTTAACTAGAATCAAAATCATCATTAATTACCATGTTAATCAATGAGATCATTTAAATTCATTTCCAGAATCAAAAGTCAATAAACTGAGGAACATTTTGAGGAGAAAAAAATCGAATCTTGAAAATCACTTTTTTCACTCTTTTGATCAAGATTATTGAGAAACTGATCAAACTGATTATTATTAAGAGAATGATTTAGACGATGATTTAGATGGCGATTAAGATGATGAAGATGATGATCAAGATTATGGTCAAATGATTAGGAAATTAATGTTTAATTATCGCGATTGTGATCGCTGTTGATATTGTTTACTCTGCTATTATCGTGTTACCTTTGAGTGTTAAATTTAACGCATTTCAATTGTACCTGAATCGTGCCAATCAACTGGAATGATAATGATGATGATTAAAGGTAATAATGGATGGATGGTCATGAGATGAAAAATTATCAGTTAATATTGATCATTATCCAAACCTGATAATTGTCCAAAGTTGATTGGAAAAGATTTCCGTTTCAGATTTTTCGTGATAATCATATTTTCTTTATTGGATCAATTAATTTTAAATTTGTTGATTTGTCAATTATTCATTTTTGTAAGGTTAAATTGTTAAACCATTTTTGATTGCATTTACCCTTGAAGCTTCAATAATTAAGCCAATAATGATATGTTGTTGAGTTGATCAGTAAATTGTTCAATCTCACGATTTCACTTTTCATTACATTCATTGATTTGTCAATTTAAGGTTCATGTTGATATTGAAAGATTTTCATCGAAAATTTTAGTTTCCATTTTTTAGATTCAACTTTTTCATTCAATTTCGTTTGTTTTGCCAATTTGATTAATTTGCATTTACCTCAGTTGTGTTGTTATGATTAACGAGCGGATCCGGCGATCATGACTGATCAATAAAGTGCATTTCACTGATTAAGATACAATCGATCTACATTAAAATACTCAAATTCTTATCGAAAAAAACCATCGTACGAATGCGAAACTCAAAAGTTTAAATCTTTAGTTTTTGTCACTTTGATAAGTTTCATTTAAAGACTTTCTTTAACCACATGTAAAACTTTTTGTTGGAGTTGGTTGTTGGTTATAAGGTAGGAAAATTGAGTTCATTTGTGTTATTAAAATTCCTCTGATCGACAGTCTTTGAGAAAATTGAACTCTTAAGACAGATCTTCTTTTGCACATTCGAAGTTCATGAAATCTTCAATCTTACTCGAAAGACAAGGTTTTGCACATAATCTAACAATAAAGCATCAACCTGAATAAGAGTTTTTCCTCAAACTCAAATACGGATACCGCATTTTTTCCCATTTATCTATTTAAACGAATTTCTTAGAAACCAGAATTCCGTTAAAGTTCTGACTATTTTTCGTGAATACAGTTTAATCATTGCTTTCATGTTCCGTTAAATTTTTCCTTGATAGCCGTTCAGTTCGGGCACAATTTTAGAGCAAAATTTATGTTTTGTGGATTGGCGTTGAAAGCTTTAAATTTATCGATAATTATCATTAGATTAACCTTTGTTTTTCCGATTCTAACTGTAACACGAACGTTATCATTTCCTTGTAATGGTTAATGACGTTTTGATTACAATTAGTTGATTTCATTTTTTGCTTCTTCTTCTTCTTTTTCTTTCGATTTAATAGTACAATTAAGTTGATTAATCTGTTTGATTCTACTAAAAAGAAAAAGCGATCAGAAAAAAAGCAACTTTAAACGATCAATTAAATGTTGTTAGCTTGATAAAAAATGTATTTTACCACTTTTTGAACGTTAATTGTTGCTTTGCCTTTTCAAACATTTTTACCATTTTATCAACTATCGATTGTCAAGCAAAATTAATGAACTTAAATTGTTGTAAATTTTGATTTAGTTTCAAGCTAAACGTTTGTTGATGTCTTAATCAAAGTGAACAACATTGTAACGTTAACTCGGTGGTTTAGTCAAGGTAAATTAAAAGATGATTTAAGGCAAAAAATGTTGCATTCTGCTTAAAGGTATAAAGCCGGGTTGAAGGAGGAAGAAGTGAAAGTTAGAGTTAACTTCTTGAAATGTTTAGCCATTTTCTTGATCATCATAATCATCAACATCATCAGTCACTTGTGATCAATTAAAGCGATTCCCTGAAAATAGTTGGCAAAGGAAAAGAAGAAGCCACCAAAAGTGAACTTTGATTGTTTCACAGTTTATCAAAACTTGGTTGATCCAACAGTTGATGATGATGTTTCTTAATCAAAGGTAAAAAACGCTTTGATTATCATGAAGAGAAGTCAATTAAATGAATCCAATGATTAGTTGATTGCATGTTTTGCTTTCCCTTACAATGAATTTGATATCGTATGTCAGCTTAAATGGCTGTTGTTTGCTGTTGATCACAACGATAATCAAGATGAGCAGATCAACAAGGTAAAGATGAGAAAAGATGAAAGAGAAGAGATGAAGATATTGATGACGATCAAAAGAAAAGTTGAGGTTAAAGATGATCTGAAAAAAGATAAAGAGATTAAATTTTTTGCTCTTCTTTGGTATTTTTTTCTTTTCCTTTTTTTCTAACCTCTTCAAAAGCCTTTGTAGTTGTGGTTTTCAACCACTTTTTTTGTGTAGTTGCTGGTGACCTTAAGGCCTGAGGAGGTTACTTGGTTACGCATTCATCTTTTGATCATCTTGCGATGATCCATCATCCAGTTTTAAATTGTATCTGTCAATCTTATCAGTCACTTTCGCCAATCTTATAACTTGATCACAAATCTGTTAACATTGCGCTTGCAAGGTTGAGTTTGAAGATCAATCGTTAACCTTGGTTCATATGCAAAGTGAAGACAATGCATCTTGCCTACCAACGTGTTCAGCTAATTTTAATATTTTACATAACTTTAGTTGTTGCTTTGATTCAGTTCTTTCTTACCTCATGTTGATACTGATTGTCCATTGTGTTAAACAGTGGTCAAGTTGATGATCAACCCACAACCCAGTTGAGTAGATTAATCGGTGAAACTAACAAGGGCAACAATAATTAGTCTGAGGTAAAGGTTGAGGGATGAGAAAAATTTTATTTCCATTTTTACAATTTTTCTTTTTCTATCAACTTTTAGGATAAGTTTATATCAAAAAGTTTCTTTTGTTGTTCAATTGATGTCAATATGTGTCCAAGACTGATCGAAGAGGTGAAGAACATGGAACAAAATATGCCAATTGGAACTGGAATTTCAAATGAAAGCGATTCATTTTGATTTCTGGTTTGATTGAGAATTAACTCCCATAGAAAATGGCTGATGATAAAAAATTGGTAAATTAATCAGTTCTGAGGATCAAATTGGTTGAGATTAAAGAGGCTGATAAAATTGAATTCAATTGAATTCAGAGGGAATTTTACTTGTTTTTCGTTAAATTTTGAGGTGTTTTTATGCATCACTTGATGGGAGTAACAATTGATCAACTTATTTGGAAGTATCGAGATTGTTTTACATGATGGTTTTGATTGTGCCAAATATTGCAATTATGGGTTTTTAATGTTTTTAGGTCTAGAGGGTTTTAATTTGGATCATTTTAATTCAAGAATTCATTTGAGTGAGTTTACATTTGATAATTACATTTTTCTCTACAAGTTATTCTATGTTTTTCTGTACAGTAAGCTGTGTTCAATCTCAAAAAGGTTTCATTAGTTCACAGGTAGATTCATGGAAAACTGATGTGACCCAAACGAAAATGATCTTCATCTTTAACTTCAATGTTGCTCTTCTTTGCCGCAGTTGCTCACATTAAGTCAGCTCATAATGAAGATGATGATTTGACAAAATTTTAAACGAAAATTTCAATTGATTAATGATAATCATCACCATGAGTCCATCAAAGTAAAACATGTAGAGACAAGAAGCAGTACACAGTCAACACCAACCCCGACTGCAACGGGACAAAGATTATCAAACATGACGAATCAAACAAAGTTTTCTTCAAAATTGATTTTGTAATGTTGTCACCAAGACCCGGTCTGGAGTGAAGCGAATCAAGGTTGATTCAATGGAGAAAAGCTCACTTGGATTATTGAACATTCAGGTGCAGGATTGACTGGCTTTTTACGCGCCCTTCTCAACTGGCCAGTGTATTTACCAATAAGTTTGGCTGAGATAAAACTGATGCCTATGTAAATGAGGTAGAATACCCAGAAAACAATCTCAACATGCTTATCGAAATCTGCTACTTTTTCCATGTACATCACGAAGTTTGTTTTCTTTCCCTCGACTGCACCGGTCATGGCGGCTGCAACGAAGCACATAATGAATCGACAGATTCTCAAGTAGAGTCTCCATTGAAGAATAATTGCCGTCAACATGAGTCCATCGAATAAAACTTTTATGAGACTGAAATAAATAAGGATGGAGTCAAGAACAATGATCGACATGACCAGAAAAAGAGCATCCAGCACAATGAATAATGCAAAGAACCAAATCAAAATGGATTTCGTGATGCTTTTGACTTTCCTTACAGTCGTGATTTTCATGGTAAAAATGTTGAGTTTGTCACACTGAATTCAACGAAATTGGGAAAAACTTTTATTGATAATTCACTTGAAAGGTTGATTATAAAGTGAAGAGTTTTTAATCAATGCGGTAAACTCATCAATATTTAACTGAGCTTCTTCATTTTATTGTAAAACTGTTCATTTTAATCCATTGTTTTATTCAACCATTGTAATAGAAATGATAAAATGTTATTCAAACTTGAATTGATAAGTTGAAGCAAAATATTAAGAACAGTCTAATCAGTTCTCTATTGATTGTCATGATGAAAGTCCATGCATTTTTTGCTAATTTTAACTGTTTATTGCGTATAAAGAATCTGATATTGACAATCATAATTATTCAATCTCCTTCCAAGTTCATCATCTTTGCTGGATTTTCCCTCACTGACTGTTTGGAAACTGGTAGATTTGGATAGCAAATTTAAAAACAATGACAACTTATCAACTCATCAGGATGTATCTGTAGGAAGCGCTTGCTTTGAAAAATGAATCTCGGTTATTCTGTTAGTAAAGGTTTGATTTTTTTAGTGTTCATATAATCAGTTGCAATTCAATAGACTACATGAGCAGATTAAACTGTTTTGGCTAATTGTTGGGCGCGTGTAGAAGAAGGAATCTGTTGAAAATCAACTATTTTACTAATATACAATAAAAAGTCAGCCAATGAATTTTTTGCGAGAAAATTGTGGACAAACTAAACGCGTTTTAAAGTTTTCTAAAGCATGAAAGCCATTCCCAACTACAACAACGAAAATATTCAGAGATTTTTTCGAAATTCAGATTACTGAGAAATTTACGTTTAATCAGAATTCGTATCTCTAACTAAGGAAATTTGGGTAAAAATCTGGGTCAGTTTGATCGTTGTATCGTGGACATATACAGTACAAAATTTTGGTTTTCGAGTAAAGACAAAGAGTTTGGAAAAAATGAAACTTCAATGGAAAAAAGGATATCGAAGTGTTGAATTCAATTAAGTAGCAGAGTGTCGTTTAGAGAAAATTTTTGGTTTTTTCTCATCCTTACGGTGATTTTTCATAAATAATTTGAGTCTTTCAATGATTTGATTTGGGGGGTTTATGCGTTGCACTCAGCAAAAAATTTATACGAGAGACTAGATGAACTAAAGAAAGGCATGAACTTAAGAAAGGAAAAAAAAAGATTGAAAAAGGTTTATCAGGTGAGTCCTGATCACTGTGTCTATGATTTTTAATGGTACGTTTTGTTCAACTCATTGAAATGAGTGTCATTATACAATTTACATGATGATTTCTAAAAAGTGACATCAAAAGCTAGCTATTATAGCTAAACGCTTAATGAAAGCTATTGGCTGTAAATGGCGTCAACAGGTAAATAGATGAGTAAATGGTTCTTGGTCTTAACATTGGTCTTTATCCCAAATGGAGTGTTAACATAGCGATTATCAAAATTTCACCAAAAATCTCAAATCACAATGGATTGACTGTAATGAACTCAACTAATAGATTGAAATGGTTTAATCCAACACTCATGGTATAATTTGACACTGAAAAATCATAACTATTTGCTCATGTAGTTTGTTGAATTTCAACAAATTGTATATTGGGTTACAAAGTTGACTGGGTGAGAGCTGAATGCTTAATGAAAGCTATTGGTTGTAGATAAATTGCATGAATAGGAGAGTAAATTGTTTTAATTCGTCGATTTGTTTTTCATTGCATTGCTGTGGTGACAATCTGTACATCATGTCAAAAGCCTACTGTTGTAACCCAAAGATATCGTTAACTTGAACTGAAAGTTTTGCTGATTATTTACATTCGAATACCTATTCGAATATTTTTTTATTCGGATATCTGTAATACTCGAATAAAAACTCTATTCATATTCAAGAATAATCGAGTAATCGAGTATTCGAATATTCACTATCGACTTAAGCGTTAATCATTCCCTCATCTACTCACCTGTTGACGTAATTTATCTACAGCCAATAGCTTTCATTAAGCGTTTAGCTTTCATTGCTAACTTTTGTTGTCTTTTTTAGCAACCATCAAACGAATTGAATGATGATGTTCATTACAATGAGTTAAACAAAATGTACCATTAAAAGCATAGACAAAATGATCAGAAGCAACCAAAACAAACTATTTTCAATTGTGCACCAATTTTCTCACTCACTTGCTTGTGTTCATCTGGTTTCTGGTAACTATTTTTACTGACAATTGTGGGTAACTCTTAATCATAATACAAATGGTGATGTTCCTTACAGGTTTGCTACAAGAGCCAACATTAATTTGATGTCATAGATTTTATTACTATTATAATTACAGCAGATAAGTAATGTAAACTCACCTGTTAAACCATCCTCACTTTTAACCCTTTCTACTAATTTTCAATCTTTAGCAATCATAATACAAATTGTAATGTTCATTTCAGTTTTGCTACAAGAGCTTACATTAATTACAGTTGATGTTTTTTCAGATATTTTTACTTTTGTTCAATATTGTGTTCATCTAGTCTCTGGTTTAAATTTATTCAATAATAACATTGTGTGTCAATTCATGATCAACTGACTTCCAATTGCTAATTTAATGTATTTCCAACATTCTGTACAAGCAAAAAAATGAAAAATAGGAAAATGACAGGAGATTTCTCCATGTCGAGTAAATGAAAATGTAGTAAAACAACATTTTTAAAATTTATTTTTTCAGTTGTGAATCCAAACTAAATATAATAAATGAAATTTTCATTTCTCCGGCGTAATTAGCAAAATCTGTATTCACTATTAGAAAGTGATAGTGCATTGGGCGATTCGCATTTTATTCAATGGTCAAGGCCATTCTTCGATAACCTTATCTCTTTATTTTTTAGGTCAACTAATGTCATTTATTCTTTAAATTCGCTGATTTACTGTCAATTTTGTATGAATGGTCAGTAGTGGCCTGACATTTGACCATTTTGCATGTCAGAGAGCCATCTAAAAGCTTTACACCACACTCAAGTTAAAGTTCAATTCATTTTTGAAACCAAATTCTTATTTGCGGACTAAGGTCACTGTGGTCATCGAGGTCATTTTTCGCGAATCGCTTCTGATTATTCCATAAATGAGAATCTTCTTATTGTTTTTGCGTGATTACTGATAATGCAGAGGTTTGACCACTTGACCACTTGCGTCCTGCGGTTCATAGCTTTTGGTTATTCTATGAATGAGATTCTTTTTATTGTTTTTGCATGATTACTGATGATAACTACGATTGACCACTTGACCACTTGCGTCCTGCGGTTGATATCTTTTAATTTTAAAACAAAAGCACTTCTCGTTGGCTATTTTGCAAATTCCAATTTTTTAATTTTAGTTGCAGAAAAACTAATTGGAAATTGTCTAGGTGAGGTTATCTTTGACAAAGGTTACAAAAGTGAACAAATGATTACATTTTCATGTCTTTTAGTGTTATTGGCATTTATTAGATGTTAAATACCTTAAATTAGCAATTTGAAGTCAGTTGATCATGAATTGACACACAATGTTATTATTGAATAAATTTAAACCAGAGACTCGATGAACACAATATTGAAGAAAAGTAAAAATATCTGAAAAAAGCTGTAAGGCTGAGAATGATTTGTCAGTTGAGTTCTGGTTACCGTGTTTACTGTATCTACTGTAATTAATGTAAGCTCTTGTAGCAAAACTTAAATGAACATTACAATTTGTATTATGATTGTTTGAGAGGAAAATCAGTAGAAATGGTTACAAATGAGGATGGTTTAACAGGTGAGTTCTGACCACTTAGTCTGTGTTGTTTCATGTTACATTTTGTTTCATTAACTTAAACCAATTTTTGGTTTGTTGTGAACTTCACGAAATTCTACTATTCTATTGATTATCGAGAGACGATTTTTTGTCAGAAATTCATACGAAATTTTGATTATGAACAAACTTTCGGTTAAAATATTTAAAATTTATTTAGTGTTTAGAGTTTAGTTTTACATTTTTAATGACGGCAAATTGTATACCAAGGCTGCATGCATGAAGAGTTACTTCGCGCCAAAGAGAAGTCCATTTATTGGCAATTTTTAAATTTGATTCCTGCATTAGTCAGTCATCAACTTCCATTGGTTCATCATTCGCTGAATTGGCATTTTGCATCTTCAGTTCTGCAATCACATAGAAACCAGGACTTTCATAATTGTAAATGGCATTCATTAAAACTCTTAGAGCTTCCATAGGCGACAGGATTCGCACATACAATTCGGTGTTATTATTCATTACGGTTTCACTGTTAAAATCAAAGAATAACAAGTTTTCGAAAATATGAAGTTCACAATAATGATTCTGAAGCAATGGGTACGACCCTTTTATTCATATTTCACACCAAAGATAAAAGATTAAATCAGATTGTTATTAGATAATTGCAACTGTTTGCAATTGGGAATTCAAGTGATGATTCTCTCAGTAAAGTATGAGGAGGAAGCAAAAATCAATTTTCGTTCAAAGCTACGATCTTTTCATTTGTGCATTAAACAAAATCCACTTGCACCAACCATTATATGCAAGCAGAAATGAAAAATAGGAAAACTCACTTCTCCATGTAGAGAAGCTTGAAATGTAGTGAAACAACAACATTGTTTCAATTGTGATTTTAGTTACAAATCCAATGGAAGCTCAATACAAAAATACTTACCTGTTGATGTCATTTATCTACAGCCAATAGTGTAAATACATTAAGTGTTTAGCTTTCATTGCTAACTTTTGTTGTCTTCTTTAGCAATCATCATACGAATTGAATGATGATGTTCATTACAAGAAGTTAAACAAAATGTAACATTAAAATGATAGACAAAATGATCAGAAACCACCACCACAAGCTATTCTCAATTGTGCACTGATGTTCAATCATACTATCCCCTCTCTTGTGTTCATCTGGTTTCTGTTTTATGCTGCACTGAAAATTGCGAGCACAATGATCAGAAGCCACTGCTACAAACCATTCTCACTGGTAACTTTTCACAATCATGTTACAAATTGTAATGTTCATTCCAGGTTTGCTCCAAGAGCCAACCAAGAGTCTTCTTTAGCAACCATCGTACAAATGAATGATTTTCATTTCAATGAGCATAACAAAACGTACCAGTAAAAATCATAGACACAGTGATCAAACTCCAAAATTCATTCTCATTTCAACTCTTTTTACCGAATCTCACTCTTTAGCAATAATAATACAAATTTTAATGTTCCCTCCAGTTATGCTATAAGATCCACCATTAATTAGAGGCCATAGACTTTCATAAACACAGTAACCACAACTCAATTGAAAAACCATTCTCAGCCTTACAGCCTTTTCCAGTTATTTTTACTTTCCTTGAATATTGTGTTCATCTAGTCTCTGTTTTAAATGTACCCAAGAATAACATTATGTGTCAATTCATGATCAACTGGCCTCCAATTGCTAGTTGAATGTTTTTCAACCATTCTATGCATGATTCTCTCAGTAAAATATGAGGAGGAAGCAAAATCAATTTTCGTTCAAAGCTACGATCTTTTCATTTGTGCATTAAACAGAATCCACTTTCACCATTATATGCAAGCAGAAATGAAAGAATGAGAAAATTCATTTCTCTATTTCGAGAAGCTAAAAATGTAGTAAAATGTATTTCAACATTAATAAAGCCATGCAAATTTCATGAACATTTGCTCATCAGACTGCTTTTTCACAACTTTTGTAATTGTCATAGATAGCCTCGTCAATTTTTTTCCAATCAATTTTTCTACAATTATTAATAAAATATAAAAATCTGAATCTCAAAAATAGCCAACTTCAACGTAAAGCGCTTTTGCTATGTAAAAAGAGCGTACCAACCAACGTAGGTATCAACCACATACCACAGGACGCGAGTGGTCAAGTGGTCAAACCAGCAGTTCTTGGTTATCATTAGTCCCGTAGAAACATTAAAAATGAATTCCTTGGATAACCAAAAGTGATTTTCGAAAAATGACCTCGATGACCTCAGTGACCTTAGTCCCCAAATAAGAATTGGGTTTCAAAAATGAATTAAACTTTCACTTGAATGTGATGGTTAAATTTTAAATGTTTTCTGACACACAAAAATGTTGATTAGGTCAAATGTTAGGCCACATCCGATTATACTAAATTAACAGTGAATCAGCGAACGAAAAGGATACAATGGCGTTAGTTGACCTGGAAAATATCAAGATAAGATTGTCGAAGAATGGCCTTGACCATTGCATAAAATGCGAATCGTCCAATGAAGTAATACTTTCTAGTTAATTCAAATTTTGCTAATTACTTAAGAGATATGGCTATTCCACTCATTGTATTGAGTTTTCGTTGGATTCACAACTGAAAAAATAAATTGTAACAATGTTGTTGCTTTACTACATTTTCATTTACTCGACGTGGAGAAATGTCCTGTCATTTTCCTATTTTTCATTTTTTCCCCTTGAAGAAATGGTGAAAAATACATTCAATTAGCAGTTGATCATGAATTGAAACATAATGATATTCTTGGGTACATTTAATCGAGAGACTAGATGAACACAATATCGAAGAAAAGTAAAAATATCTAAAAAAGCTGTAAGGCTGAGAATGATTTGTCAGTTGAGTTCTGGTTACCGTGTTTACTGTATCTGAAAAACTAATTGGAAATTGTCTAGGTGAGGTTATCTTTGACAAAGGTTACAAAAGTGAACAAATGATTACATTTTCATGTCTTTTAGTGTTATTGGCATTTATTAGATGTTAAATACATTAAATTAGCAATTGGAAGTCAGTTGATCATTGACACACAATGTTATTATTGAATAAATTTAAACCAGAGACTCGATGAACACAATATTGAAGAAAAGTAAAAATATCTGAAAAAAGCTGTAAGGCTGAGAATGATTTGTCAGTTGAGTTCTGGTTACCGTGTTTACTGTATCTACTGTAATTAATGTAAGCTCTTGTAGCAAAACTTAAATGAACATTACAATTTGTATTATGATTGCTTAAGACTGAAAATCAGTAGAAAGGGTTACAAGTGAGGATGGTTTAACAGATGAGTTCTGATCATTGAGTCTGTGTTTTTTCATGTTACATTTTGTTCCACTCACTGAAATCAATTTTTGGTTTTTTGTGAACTTCACGAAATTCTACTATTCTATTGATTATCCCGAGAAACGATTTTTTGTCAGAGATTCATACGAAATATTGATTATGAACAAACTTTCGGTTAAAATATTTAAAATTTATTTAGTGTCCAGTAAACAGACAGAGTTTAGTTTTACATTTGTAATAACGGCAAATTTTATACCAAGGCTGCATACATGAAGATTTACTGTATGCCAAAGAGAAGTCGATTAATGGACAATTTTTAAATTTGATTCCTGCATTAGTCAGTCATCAACTTCCATTGGTTCATCGTTTGCTGAATTGGCATTTTGCATCTTCAGTTCTGCAATCACACCATTAGCTAAAACATAAACGTTGATTTCACCAGGATTTTCATGATTGTAAACGAAATCTATTAAAACTTTTAGAGCTTCCATAGGTGACAGGATTCGCACATACAATCCGGTGTTGGTATTCATCACGTTTTTTACTGTCAAAATCGAAGAATAACAAGTTTTCGAAAATATAAAGTTCACAATAATGATTCTGAAGCAATGGGAACGACCCTTTTATTCATATTTCACACCAAAGATAAAAGATTAAATCAGATTGTTATTAGATAATTGCAACTGTTTGCAATTGGGAATTCAAGTGATGATTCTCTCAGTAAAGTGTGAGGAGGATGCAAAAATCAATTTTCGTTCAAAGCTACGATCTTTTCTTTTGTGCATTAAACAAAATCCACTTTCACCATTATATGCAAGCAGAAATGAAAAATAGGAAAATTCACTTCTCCATGTCGAGAAGCTTGAAATGTAGTGAAACAACAACATAACAACAGTAAAGTAGATGCCATAGACTTTAATAAACACGGTAACCAGAACTCAACTGACAAACCATACTCAGCCTTAAAACTTTTTTCAGATATTTTTACTTTTCTTCGATATTGTGTTCATCTAGTCTCTGGTTTAAATGTATCCAATAACATTATGTTCTAATTCATGATCAAATGGCCTCCAATTGCTATTTCAATGTATTTCCAATATTCTATACAAGCAAAAAATGAAAAATAGGAAAATGACAGGACGTTTCTCCATGTCGAGTATGTGAAAATGTAGTAAGACAACAACATTGTTTCAATTGATTTTTCAGTTGTGAATCCAATGAAAGCTCAATAAAATGAGTGGAATTGCCATTTCTCTGAAGTAATTAGCAAAATCTGTATTCACTATTAGAAAGTGATAGTGTATTGGACGATTCACATTTTATACAATGGTCAAGGCCATTCTTCGATAACCTTATCGCGTTATTTTCCAGGTCAACTAATGCCATTTTATTCTTTACGTTCGCTGATCTACTGATAATTTTGTATCAATGGTCAGTGGTGGCCTGACATTTGACCTAACCAAACATTTTTTATGTCAGAGAACCATCTAAAAACTTTACATTACACTCAAGTGAAAGTTTAATTCATTTTTTGAAACCAAATTTTATTTGGGGACTGAGGTCACTGTGGTCATCGAGGTCATTTTTCGAAAATGGGTTCTCATTATTCTATGAATGAGATTCTTTTTATTGTTTTTGTGATTAATGATAATGCAGAGGTTTGACCACTTGACCAATTTCGTCCTGCGGTTGAAATGTTTAATTTCAAAACAAAAGTACTTCTCGTTGGCTATTTTTCAAATTCCAATTTTTTAATTTTAATTGAACAAAAATTAATTACAAAAAAATTTGTTCAATAGGCGAGGCTATCTATGACAATTACAAAAGTTGCGAAAAAGCAGTCTGTTGAGCAAATGTTCATGAAATTTGCATGACTTTTAGGGTTATTGGCTGCTATTAATGTTGAAATACATTCAATTAGCACTTGAAACAATGTTGTTATTTTACTACATTTTTAGCTTCTCGAAATAGAGAAATGAAATTTTACTATTTTTCATTTCTGCTTGCATATAATGGTGAAAGTGGATTTTGTTTAATGCACAAAAGAAAAGATCGTAGCTTGGAACGAAAATTGATTTTTGCTTCCTCCTCATACTTTACTGAAATAATCAAGCATAGAATGGTGAAAAAACATTCAACTAGCAATTGGAGGCCATTTGATCATGAATTAACACATAATGTTATTGGATGCATTTAAAACAGAGACTAGATGAACACAATATTGAAGAAAAGTATAATAAAAATATCTGAAAAAGCTGTAAGTTTGAAAATGGTTTTTCAATTGAGTTCTGGTTACCGTGTTTATTGAAAAATATGGTCTCTAATTAATGATGGCTCTTATAGCATAACTGTAGTGAACATTAAAATTTGTATTATTATTGCTTAAGAAGGAAAATCAGTAGAAAGACTTGTGGAGTTTGATCACTGTGTCTATGATTTTTAATGGTACGTTTTGTTTAGCTCATTGAAATGAACATCATTGATGGTTGCTAAAGAAGACAACAAAAGTTAGCTTTGAAAGCTAAACACTTAATGAAAGCTATTGGCTGTAGATAAATTACGTCAACAGGTGAGTAGATGAGGGAATGATTAACGCTTAAGTCGATAGTGAATATTCGAATACTCGATTACTCGATTATTCTTGAATATGAATAGAGTTTTATTCGAGTATTACAGATATCCGAATAAAAAAATATTCGAATGGGTATTCGAGTACAAATAATCGCAAAACTATCAGCTCAAGTTAACGATATCTTTGGGTTACAACAGTAGGCTTGCGATTTGATGTACAGATTGTCACCACAGCAATTTAACGACAAAAAGATCAACCAAAACAGTTTACTCTCCCATTCATGCAATTTATCTACAACCAATAGCTTTCATTAAACATTCAGCTCTCACCCAGTCAACTTTGTAACCCTTAACCGATTATTGAAATTAAATACATGAGCAGATAGTTATGATTGTTCAGTGTTAAATTGTGCATTGAGTGTTGGATTAAACCATGCCAATCTATTAGTTACGTTCATTACAGTCTCACCATTGTGATTGGAGATTTTTGGTGAAAGGTTGGTTGAGAATCTTATTTTAACAGTAATAAGTTTTGTTACAATTTTCAGAATGTTTCATTTCTAGATCAAAATGTCTTATGTTTACACATCTTTTGGGATTATGACCATCTTTTTGAGTGAGAATTCCAGGACAAAGGAACTTGTTGGTAAAAACTTGAGATGATTTCGATTAAACTCAGGGTTATATGATTTAATAAAACATCTGTATTGAATTTATCATGCATCAAACAAATTTTCTCGATAGGATTTGGTTTTACATTTGATTATTTGAACTGTTCATTTACTGAGTAATACAAAGTGAAAATTGACTTTCCAGGCTGTGGACATGAAGAGTTACTGCGCGTCAAAGAAAAGTCATATATTGACAATTTTCAAATGCATTAGTCAGTCATCAACTTCAATTGGTATTGTTTCAAAAGCTGGTAAACTGACATTTCCCTTCGGATCAAAATCTTATTTTCGCTTATTAAAACAACTATCATTTTCTATTGTTATTTTTGATACTTTTGTTTCAAAACTAGAATGAAAATTACAATTTTTATGATGATTGTTAACGGGCTACACCGGTAACCAGCCATGAGAGCTAGACGCTTAATGAAAGCTATTGGCTGTAGATAAATGATGTCAACAGGTAAATAGATAAGCAAATGATTAACAGTATCTTTGGGTTAAAATATCAGACTATGATATTTACAGATGCAAAACTGTACCCACAACAATTTTTTACCAGTCGATTAAATCGATTTTCCTTCCCATTCAGCCAATTTATCTGCAACCAATAGCTTTCATTGAGCATTTAGCTCTCACCGAGTCAACTTTGTAACTCTTTATACAATTAGTTGAAACTCAATGAACTACATGAGCAAATTGAATTGTTTCTGTATGTTGATAGGTGTATGTAGATGAACAAAACCGGCAAAAATAATCAAAATGAACCAGACTCGACAAAATTCCACAAAAAAATTCCAATGTTTAACAATTGATGTTAATATGAGTCCATTTAAGAAAAGTTTGACGATTAGCGAAGTGAACCATTGACATTTTCAAATCCGATACAGTTGACAAAACACGTAATCCAAAATATACAATCAGAATTACTCTTAAATTGTCGCTGTTGAAAACGCTGTTCACATTTCAAACATGTTCTTTGTACCAGAAGTAATTTCAATTGAAAGCACAATTTATTGCAATTGGTTTTATTGTTGAGACACTGAAAATTGAGAACTATTTTTAAGGATTCACATCGAAATGGATTATATAAATTAACTATTTCCATCAATGTGACCAATTAACTATGCTGAGATAGTTTGAGCGTTTCTGATTATTTTATTTTATCGCAACTTTTATGGTTGTTCAATGTTAGATTAGGCATTGGGTGTTGAATGACCATTTCAATCTGAATATTCATTGCAGTCAATCCTTTTATGAACTGACTGACGTTTAGATTTTATTCATCTGTTAACTTTATATTTGATTTCACACATTACACTTGACACTAACATCTTTTTTTTGATGAAGAAAGCAAAGAAAACGGAAGTAGCAATGCAAATAATGAAAAATTTAATTGTTTATCGTTGTAAATGTAGTAAAATCATAACATTGTTTCAATTGAGATTTTAGGCTTTTCTCTGTATTTGTCTATCCAGGGTGTGGACATTATTTTGACGAGAAGTCGATTGACAACAGTCCATTTTAGGTATATGCTCTAACTAAATCATTCGAAACTTTACAAAGTTTAAACAACAAATCACATGTTGAAGAATTTAATGAGGTTGAGAACGATTCGATCCAGAATTTGAAGCTTGGAATAACCTTTTTATTTGTTCAGTATAATTGCCCATAAGTTGAGTCGAAACAGCATATGCAACAAATTGAATTAATGCCACAATTCCAGCAAGCAAAAGGTCAGTATCTTCGCTGGAATTTCCCTTATTTTCGTCAACAGAACCTGGATTCAATATCTTTCTAGTAATTTCATCTCTTTTAGCCTCTCCACGTGCTGCCGCTATTCCTCTTACCCCTGCAATTAACATGGCGGAAAAGAGATAGATGAAGATTCTACAAATTCTCAAGCAATTTCTCCATTGTTTGATGATCGCCATCAATACGAGTCCGTCAAAGAAAAGCTTCAAGAGAACGAGTACAATGATTACTGGATTGGGAGATATGAGTGTTGATACCAGAGAAAGTCCATCAACCGTAACAAGGAATCCAAAAGCTGCTTTCAAAACGGTTTTCGATTTGCTTTCGACTTTCATCTCCATGATTGTACAACTCAGAATATACGATACGAAACTCGGAAGAAAACTAAATCAGAATTTATTCACTGAATGAGTAGAGACACTATGAAAGGACCCACTTGAAGACCACCTAAATAAATCAACGACGTAATTGCACCGACAAAATTAGCTGTAATATGGAACGAAAATATTCCAATCGAAAATTGACTTTCAAGAATTGTGAACTTGTACCTTGACTACAAATTGACAACATGTAACTTCACTGAATTATAATGAAGACAACTTGAATAAATGCAAGCAAACTAATTGATTGACTGGAATCAACTAGAACTGCATGAAAGTGTTTGCAATAATGAATAAAATGCCACTTATACATCGTATCATTGAAGATGATAAGCTCATCAGTATATTCAGTTGTCACTAGAGATTGTCGGAAACTTGGAAAGTTTGTCAACGAGTCTTCACTTTACTTCACAAGCATAAAAGGTTGCATCAACACGGTGAGTGGAACCAACTATAGCTGCATGAAAGTGTTTGTGAGTATCAATAATCACAAAACTATCAGCTCGGATTAATGCTATCTTTGGATTATTGGATTACAAGTTATAATTCAATATATTAATAAATTAATGTAAGATACATGAATCTTTGGTTACAACAGTAGGCTTGCAATTAGATGTTCAGATTGACGCCACAGTACTTCAATGACAAATTGATCGACCAATCAAATTAATTTGGTTCGTCATTCATGCAATTAATCTACAACCAATAGCTTTCATTATGCATTTAGCTCTCACCCAGTCAACTTTGTAACCCTTTATATATTCAGTTGAAACTCAATGAACTACATGAGCAAATTGAATTGTTTCTGTTTGTTGTTAAATGTGTGTAAATAAGCTAAATTCAAAAATTCGACAATTACATGGTGTTGAGTGGACTGAAGTTGTTGGACAGTATGGTTTTGCAAATAAGTTCTGGTTATTTTGTTTATTAAAACAGCCATCATTCTTGCATGTTAATTTTTGTTTCAAAACTGGGATGAACATTACAATTGGTATGATGATTTTTAACAGGCTGCACGAATAACCAGCCATGAGAGATTAACGCTCAATGAAAGCTAAGATGTCAACAGGTACGTAAGTAGTATCTAATTAGATAAGCAAATGATTAACGGTATCTAAACGGTAAAAGAATTCCAATGTTTAACAATCAATGTTAATATGAGTCCATTGAAGAAAAGTTTGACGATTAGCGAAGTGATCCATGGAAATTTTCAAATCAGAGACATTCGAAAAAACACGTAATTCAAAATATACAATCAGAATTACTCTTAAATTGTCGCTGTTGAAAACACTGTTCAATCCAAACATGTTCTTTGTAAGTAAAAATGCAAAAATGTCCTTAAGATGCTTTGCTCAAAAAAGATTTGCTCAAAATTGGTTGCTCAAATTAACCTCTACGGTTGAATAATACCATTTCAAACTGATTATTCATTGCAGTCAATCCTTTTTAATTGGAGATTTTAGGTGAAATTATGATGTGCGGACAAATGGTCAAGAATCTAGTCTTCAGAAGTGACAAGTTTTGAGAATATAATGAGAAGTTTAGTAACAATTTTCAGAAAATTTCCATTTCTTTCATAAATTATCATGATTTTGCATGCAAACACAATAAAAAAATCTCTAAATCGTTAAGAGATCAGTCGATATGGAATATGAGTTGAATTTACTGTTGATTAAAAGACTAATCGAAACATTGCAAAGGTAAAAATATCTTTTATTCATTTATTGATTTCCAAGTAACTTTTACTTTGGTCATAATTTCCAACATTAAAAGTTCGAAGACAAAATAAGCCTAAGTTTCAGCACTAAATTAATAAGAATAAAGAGGTGAGTAAGGCGGAGGATTATTCGATTGAGAAGGTGGAGAGTTGGTGGAAGCTTGGAATAACCTTTCCAGTTGTTTAGTATACCTACTTATCAATTTAGTCGATTCAATATCTCTCTAGTAACTTCATCTCTTTTAGCCTCTCCATAAGATGCCGCTATTCCTCTTGCCCCTACAAGTAACACGATGTAAAAGAGATGGATGAAGATTCTACAAATTCTCAAGCAATTTCTCCATTGTTTGATGATCGCCATCAATACGAGTCCGTCAAAAATAAAGCTTAAAGAGACAGGATACAATGATATCCGGCTGGGGAGCCATGCACGCTGATACCAGAGAAAGCCCGTCAAACGCAACATTGAATCCAATAAATTCCGTCACAATTGTTTCCAATTTGCTTATTCACTGAATGAGCAGCGACTCTGTAAAAAGACACATTCGAATACCACCTAAATACGCAAAATTGGCCGTAATAAGGAACGAATATATTTCAATTAAAATGAAGAAATTACTTTGAAGAACTATTAACTTGTACCTTTGTCATGATTCCTTGACTCGAAATTAATAGCTTGTAACTTCACTGAATTATAATGAAAACAAAATGAATTGATGGAAGCAAATTAATTGATTGACTTAAAATCAACTACAATTGCATGAAAGTGTTTAAATAATGAATAAAATTCCCCTTACACATCGTACCATTGAAGATGAGCAGCTCATGAGTATATTTAGATCACACTTGAGATTGTGTCGAATAGTTATAATGAATGTGTTTGCAATAATGAATAAAATGTCACTTTGACATCGTTGACATTAAAAATAAACTCAAAACATTCGTTGAAAGCTATTTCGCTAATTTAACTAATTCGATTAAATCAAGAATGATTAAAGCCGATAGAATTATTGGCTTAATAAGATAGGATTAAATGAGTGAATCCACTAGACCCTACTAAGTTCGACTTGTTTTGAAAATTTCTTTGTATCCGCCTCTATTAGCAATTGGATCTAGAAAATTTTCTTATTCTCATTCCCCATACGTTAGTCTATGATGCACAAGTATAGCTGTTAAAAGTTGCAAGCAACAATAATTGCCCTTTTCAAATCATTAGTATATCTTCCGATGAGGTAAGCCAAAATTAAATTGAAAAGTATTCCCGATACGAGCAGTATTTCAAAAACAAAAATAAGAGACATAATAACAATCACAATTATGATGAGGATTCGCCAGATACTCAGGAAAAGTCTCCATTCCTTAATGACAGCAGTCAATAATAATCCTTGAATGAGTAGAGACACTAAGAAAGGACCCATTTGTAGACCACCTAAATACACTAACGACGAAATCGCACCGACAATATGTGCCGTAATAAGGAACGAATATGTTCCAATCAAAATTGACTTTAAAGAAGCCATGGTTCCTTAACTCGAAATTAATAGCTTGTAACTTCACTGAATTATAATGAAAACAAAATGAATTGATGAAAGCAAATTAATTGATTGACTTGGAATCAACTACACCTGCATGAAAGTGTTTGAAATAATGAATAAAATGTCACTTTGATATCGTATCATTGAAGATGATCACCTCATGAGTATATTTAGATCACACTTGAGATTGTGCTAAATATTAAACGTTAATAGTAAACGTTTAGACTTTTGAACCTTTTCTCTGTACAGAAACATGTCTAATACAATCTCCAATCGATCAGAAGCAATTGCATAAAAATAATTCATACAATTTTCTGATTACAAGTTGTAATTTAATATTAGGACTTAGGTAAATCCTGATTAACGATATGAAGAATTAATTTTTAGCTCGTTTCCAGAATTGCAATTTGATTTACAGATTGACGCGACAGCACTTCAATGAAAAATTGATTAACCAATCAAATTAATTTGCCTTCCCATTCATGCAATTAATTTACAACCAATAGCTTTCATTAAGCATTTATCTCTCACTCAGTCAACTTTGTAAGCCTTTATACAATTAGTTAAAACTCAATAAACTACATGAGCAAACTGAATTGTTTCTGTATGTTGTTAAATATGTGTAAATGAGCTAAATTCGAAAAATAATTTTAGACCCGAGAAGTGAATTGTTTCAGTTTACTGTATTAACTATAGTTTTCAGTCAGAAATATTAGGGTGTTCGATAATGTGTTGACCTCAATATGAAAAATAAATTATTTTTTCGAACTAAAGAGTTAAATCACTTCCTTGGGAAGTATATACAGTAGAGGCCATCTATCTAACAATCAATGTTACTATGAGTCCATTGAAAGAAAGTTTGACGAGAATGAAGCCAATCTGTCGATTAGCGAAGTGAACCATGGACATTTTCAAATCAGAGACATTTGACAAAACACGTAATCCAAAATATACAATCAGAATCGCTCTTAAATTGTCGCTGTTGAAAACGCTGTTCAATCCAAGCATGTTCCTTGCACTCGAAGTAAACTATTTGAAACTTTGAACTGAAAGCACAATTAATTGCAATTGGTTTCATTATTGAGACACTAAAAATTGAGAACTATTTTAAGGAATTACATTGAAATGGATTATATAAATGAATTATTTCCATCAATGTGACCAATTAACTAATATTTAACAAACCCTTTTTCTTTATCACCCAAATAATCAGCAAACTCATTGTTTTCCTGAAAGCAGAGAGGAGATGAATGCTGAGATAGCTTTGATCATTTCTGATTATTTCGTTTTATCACAACTTTTATGGTTGTTCAATGTTAGATCAGGCATTGGGTGTTGGATGATACCATTTCAATCTGATTATTCACTACAAACCATTTTTTTTATTCGAAATTTTTGGTGAAATTTTGATGTTCGGGCAAATGGTCAAGAATCTAGTTTTCAGAAGTGACAAGGATATAATGAGAAGTTCAGTAACAATTTTCAGAAAATTTACATTTCTTTAATATTTTATAATGATTTTTCATGTAAACACAAAAAAATCTCTGAATCTTTAGGAGATCAGTCGATATGGAATGAGGGTTGAATTTACTGTTAATTAAAGAACAAATCGAAACATTGCAAAGTCAAAAAATCTTTTATTTATTCATTCCCAAGTAACTTTGGTCATAATTTTTAACATCAAAACGGATCGTTTAGACACAAAATGAGTCAAAGATTAAGCACTAAATTAATAAGAATAAAGAGGGTAGTAAGGCGGAGGATTATTCGATGGAGAATGGTTCGATCCAGAATTTGAAGCTTGGAATAACCTTTTTATTTGTTCAGTATAATTGCCAATAAGTTGAGCCGAAACACCATATGCAACCAATTGAATTATTGCCCAAATTGCAGCAAGCAAAAGAACAGTATCTTCGCTGGGATTTTCCTTATTTTCGTCAACAGAACCTGGATTCAATATCTCTCTAGCATCTTCATCTCTTTTAGCCTCTCCATAAGATGCCGCCATTCCTCTTGCCCCTACAAGTAACACGACGTAAAAGAGGTAGATGAAGATTCTACAAATTCTCAAGCAATTTCTCCATTGTTTGATGATCGCCACCAATACGAGTCCGTCAAAGAAAAGCTTCAAGAGAACGAGTACAATGATTACTGGATTGAGAGATATGAGTGTTGATACCAGAGAAAGTCCATCAACCGAAACAAGGAATGCAAAAACTGCTTTCAAAACGGTTTTCGATTTACTTTCGACTTTCATCTCCATGATTGAACAGCTCAGAATATACGATACGAAACTTGGAAGAAAACTAAATAAAACAAAGTTTATTCACTGATGTAAGTTTATATTGACTTAGAAAATTTAAACAAAACTCAATTCGGAAATGACGTGCACAGTGTGAAGAAAATTTTAATTGTAACTTCTCGCTACTATGCTACTACTAAATAATATTGTTCAGCTTGCTTATTTAAGGTAAGGTTAGGGTACAATATCGTTTAAGGTAAAAAACCGAGAGGCGTGTTAACAAAATAAAAGGGTTTAATTAATTGAATTACAATGGGTTAGTATTGTTGATGTTAAACTGATTTACATTGTCAGTGGACAAAGGGTTTCACATGGTGTTTTTTACTCTAAAGGTTGATGCAAAAATAAGGTTATGTAATGCGGAAAGCGATAAATAAATGCAAGGGAAAATAGATGAAGGGTTGTGTGATCAAGTGCGATACTCCTCATAAAAACTAATATGGTTTGATTAGTTTACAAGATTTCCCGTTGTAATCATCTTTGGCATGAATGGAAACTCTTCTTGGGAGAGTCTCTTGGATTCTTGGGGAAGGGTTGAGATGTCAATTGAACATATCGCAAACACTAGCTATTTCAGATATGCTCAGAGTCGAGACTCTAAGTGTTGCATATAAACAACGAAATGGATAATTATTATATTCTTTTATGATACTACACTATATTTAGCTGTTTTATTAATATTATTAGATCATATTGTGCGTTTTCTGTGGAACAATAAAAGAGCCAAAAGATAATTTCTGTTAATGCTCCTTATTGCTTAGTTTAATCATCTTTTCACGAAATGACATGATTCTTTTGGGTGAAGAAAACTAAATCAAAGTAAGAAGCCAAATCAATTTGTTTATGATTTGAAAATGGTATGAAATTATTAACTCTGGGTTCGTTTTGAATAACTTTGGTTGATGCTATTAAAAATCAATGTTGATAATTCAATTTAGTCAAATGATCTATTGTGCTCTCGGAAAAGCAAAACAAAGCAAAAGCTTTCCATCATCTTCAGATCGTTTGAAACCGGCAATGATAACCATTGCAAACATTGTTTAATAAAGGCCCGTTGAAGAGTAAAATTAAAATGATGAAACCCGATTCAGGGGCGATTTAGTAGTATCAACGACTTTTGACATCATTTGGCACAGCACACTTCGCAGTAGCGTCTTGTTTTTGATGAAAAAGGCAGAGAAATAAAAGTAAAAACGTAAATGATGAAAAATTTGTTTATTGTCGATCAAATTAACGCAAAATAAGTTTGACTTACAGGACGCTATCGATTTGTTGCTACAGTCTATGATGCACAAGTATAGCTGTTAAAAGTTGCAAGCAACAATGATTGCTCTTTTCAAATCGTTAGTATATCTTCCGATGAGGTGAGCCAAAATTGAATTGAAAAGTATGCCCAATATGAGCACTATTTCAAAAACAAACAAATATGTCTTTGAGTCGTCATCTAATTGTTTAGAACCGATGAGGAAAACAATTCCAAGCACTGATAAGATCGACATAATAACAATCCCAATTATGGTGAGGATTCGCCAGATACTCAGGAAAAGTCTCCATTGCTTAATGACGGCAGTCAATAATAGTCCCTGAATGAGTAGAGACACTATGAAAGGACCCACTTGAAGACCACCTAAATAAATCAACGACGTGATCGCACCGATAACATTTGCTGTAATAAGGAACGAATATATTCCAATCAAAATTGACTTTGCGGAACTGTTAACTTGTACCTTTGTCATGATTCCTTGACTCGAAATTAATAGCTTGTAACTTCACTGAATTATAATGAAAACAAAATGAATTGATGGAAGCAAATTAATTGATTGACTCGAAATCAACTACACCTGCATGAAAGTGTTTGAAATAATGAATAAAATGTCACTTTGACATCGTATCATTGAAGATGATCACCTCATGAGTATATTTAGATCACACTTGAGATTGTGTTCAATAATAAACGTTTGGACTTTTGAACCTTTTCTCTGTACAGAAACATGTCTAATGACAATCTCCAATCAATCAGGAACAATTGAGTAACAATAATTCACACAATTTTCTGAATAAAACAGAAATGAATAAACTTTCCAAAAAAACTTTCAATTTCACACATTTATGTACACGTTTACGGTTTTTGTCACAAACCGCGTTGAAAAACTCAAAAAGTTTGTTCACAAATCTTCAGTTTCCAAGCATAAAAGGTTGGATGGAATGAAAACGATTAAAAGTGGACAAAATTTTCATTTACAGTCTTGTATACTTATAGTCTTACAGGTACAAAAAAGTTTCAAAAGAATTTTCGAGTTCTTTAATATATTTGTCATTGCAAAAGAATAGAATTGTAATATTTCAAGAGTAAAAGTTGTTTCACCGAATGCTGATGGGTTCACTTTCAATGACTGGATATAAAATGATTAGTTTTCATCAAATATTGCAAGATTTTATATCAATTCAATCAAGCCTTGATTATTCAGCCGTTTATTGCTCATTTTATTCACTGTTTTCGTATCAAAAGTATCGATAAGATTACTCAAAATTCTGGTAAAACAATCTGATTGATGCTGGTTCTGATTGCAACCTTTCTGGTTAAACTGACACAAGCGTTGTATGCTTTCCTCTTCTCTGCATCCAAACTCATGATCTTTGATTTTTTAAGTCTATTTCGATCATTAATTTCGACTTGCTTGTAACTTATTGAACCTATTAAATTGAATTATAATTTAACAGTAATTGTGAACGGAACAATAACCATTCAATTTATTACTATTTATCTTACAATTAAATAAGGCAATAATGAGTTAAGTAAAAAAATTATCGATTTTAC